GAAAACTAATATTAAATTAAATAAATCCTCCAAAATAAAATCCAAGTGAAATAAATACTCTTATACCAATAATCCTCTAGATACCAATTTTAAGTTCATTAAATTCTCGCTTATTTTTAATGATGTAAAAAAAGGCTAACATTAAAAATGAGCAAGAATTTAGCAAATAATTGGAAAAACATGGCCAAACAAAGTTGTCTAAGACGTATTTATTATTACAAATACATTTTATCAAGTTAATTCAGTTATTTTTTGAAAAATTTACAAAAAGGTCCATTGATTTATAAATATATATGTACAAATATAAACACAAAAATTAGTCCCTATGGCTATATCTAGTAGGCATGAATTGAAATGAGTAGCACTCATACCGAATACTTGCAGGGAATTGCTTAATCGAATAATTTTTAATTAGCTATTTATACTAAATACAATTAAGTGGAGGACTCTATTTTTTTATTTATTGCATAATTGACCAATTAAAATAATAAGTCTAGTAATTCATTATAATTATTCGTTATAAGAATTACTTTTTAATTAAAATTGGTAGAATAGGAGAAAGTGTTTTTCTTTAATTTCAATTTTAAAATTTCAATTTCAATTTTAAAATTTTAATTTCATGTGGCCAAACTCAACGCAGCCCAAGTAAAATTGTATATAAATGCGGGAGGTTTGTACCCTCAGCTTGTAGTTACCTTTGGCCGACAAATCATTTCTCATTAGAGACACTGATGGTCTAACATCATTGGCGGTGAGATCAAGAAGCAAGTCAATCTAGTTTTTTAAGGAACAAATGATGGGTCAAACCACTAACTAAACTTTTGTCAAAGTAATGGGGAGGACCCCACTGGGTGACTTTCCACGAAATGAGTAGTTACCACTTGCCGCCTTGTTTGGCACACAAACCAGGCACAATCTTGCCGCTTGTCGATTACCATGCAAAGTGGAAGACGTCTGTGTATATATATATATACACATACGTGTGTATATATATCATGTTGAAATTCCATACAGACAAGTAATTGAAAATGTGCTAAAACTCCTAAAAGTCATAACGTGCCTAAATTAGGTTTCATGCTTATCTTCATCACTGGTTGAGGACTTGATCGGCCACTTTAATGCCCTTAATTTGAATACACTATAAGAAAAAGTTAGCACAAAATCATGAAAGTCTATCAGGAGAAGATATGTATTGTAACCTAATTCATGCTTCACAAACTCTGGATGTGTTCAATCATTCGTAATCTACATATGTCATTTAATTCAAATATTTTTGCACTTTGTGAGAATTAAACTCAGAACGTCTGAGTTTATGATTTTTCACAAAATACCTTTATTCACTGAACCACCTATGCAGATTAATAATTGAAGCTTTGGATTTAGTTTTAAATGGAGGAATGCAATAATTTGAAATCACAATAACCATTAAAGATGAATTAAGCAATCAATTTGAGAGAACTGAACTTGTGTTTCTGTAGCAGCACATTAATACAAGTTGACGCATAAGGTGAAATGAGTAGAAACTAGGCCTTTTATGCTTAAGCTTATAATGTAAATAACATTAATCCTTTCATTTTCAATTTTTCTTTTTTTCTTTTTTGGTTTTATTATTATAGTTTAATTTTCTACTCCACTTCTTTTTACAATGTGACATATATTTTGAGACATCCAAAATATAAATGTGGACAAATTTTTTGTAACAAATAAAGTATTATTCTTTTAATGGGACTCACGTGCATATAGTAGGGTTACAACAAAAAAATCCAGTGAAACTTTCGTCTTTATACAAGTGTCGAGAGCTTAGGTATAAGATGATAATAAAATTCGAGTTTGTTTCGTTACCAATCTTTTTTGAATTGAACTCAATTTAAAGTTGACTAAATTGATTTTTTTTTTATATAGCCTTATATATATAACTTATTAGTTCGCTGTATGAAGTTGGAACTAAGCTAAATGTAATCAATTTGACTTTCCTCATCATCTAATGATATGTGAAGTTGATACTATTTATTTGGGACGCAAATGAACTAGGTTGTTCAAAGAAATCAGTAACAAATGAACTCCAAATAATTATTGATTTGAGTTTTTAAATTAACAAATATATTAATAAACAAAATGCTTTGGATTCTTGAAATATGCATGACTATTGTTAGGTGTCGAATGTTATACATTTTAACCTATTTACTTGCATGTTTTATTCTCTTAATAATATTTTATTTGTGATTTTACATTATTTTATTATTTTTATTTATTTCAGGACTTTAATTATAAAATCAGTTAAGACCAGTGATTCTGAGCTTTAACAGATGACATTCCATGAGACCGAGTAATGTTGAAGATCCAAGTCTAATTATACTTATAAAATATTCCAAAAGAAGCCACATGTTGATGAGAATGAAAAGAAGAATAAAAGGAAAACTCCTTCCCAAAAAGGAAACTTTCGCCGAAGTTGGTAACTTGAATCCATTTTGGTAATCTGGTTATATCTCTCTCTTCGAGTGTCAAAACAACTAAATTCTCGCGAAGGTTGAAAGGAAATTCGAAGAGCTACAATTTTGTATTTCACGAGGATTCCCTAAAACAACTGTTTACTTTGTCAAAATTGGACTGGAAGTCTGTATGAATTTTGGAGTCCTTATTTGACAGAATTTCTATGTATGTCTTCTATATGAACTTTAGGGCTGATATTTTATTATTTAAAGGGAGTCCTCTACAACATTGAATCATCATACAGAGGAGCTTGAGGCTGAAATCATAAAAGGAGCATTCAGAAAAAGGAAGGGATCAATCCATGGCGGTGAAGATGTCTCCAGTCATGCTTGGCTAAACACTTTGCTAGGGTTGTGATGTAGCCCTAACTTAGAACACTAGTTTGATTATATTTAATTATTGGAGAATAATTTTTATCATGCATGATTGTGTAATTTATAGGATTTTTAATTCATTTTTCAATAAGAATCGGTTTTAAAGTTTTAATTCAATTACAAATATTTTTCTATCTTGTCTTAGATATTTTAATCTTGTAATTGAACACAACTCATTCAATTCTTGTAATTGTGAATGAGATAATTACACAATGGTTTTTATCTAAATATAATGTTAGAGATTTGATGGATTATGCTTATAAAAAATAGACCATGCTACATCCTAGCATGTTATATGATTATTTTATTGATACAATCGAAGATAGTCCATGCTTATTGATACAATTAACTGGTGGTGCGACGTTAGTGGTGAAGTCATTCCCCTAGTTATCTCTCTGTTTTCTACATTCTATTTAATCATTATTCTTTAGTTTATTTTATTTTTCTACTCAGTTAATTTAGAATTAATCATCATAATTCGATTATCCTATTTTTAAGTTAATTTGAAATTTAAAAAATTTATTGATAAACTTAATTTACACAAGTTCTTTGGGTACGATACCTTTACAAGTAAGTCATATATGTAAAGATTTTTACACTTTCGAGTAATTGATATAAATCTCATAACAACAAAAATTTAAATATGAGTAGAAAAAGAAAACCATTAATGAGTGTGATTGGGTCTCTGTGGTATTAATTAAAAAGAGCAAAGCACATCAAATTCAAATTCTTTTCCTTCACACACACACACTCGATCTTAATGAGATTTTTTTTTTTTTGGTTCTTCTTTCAATTTTCCAATCAATCATCCCCACAAGGACATGTGGTGTGCCCAGTAGGACCATGACCACATTAAAAGCCACCCCTAAACCTAGTGCTTCATGTGTGAATTATCCTGTTGTAGCATGTTCTTGTGGACCCAACTTCTAATGTTTTAGTCATGACTCAGCCTTTTGGTGCATAAAATAAAGAAACTATAAAGTAAAAATCTTCATTAACCTTTGTGAATCCTCGTGAAAGATATGAAATAAAAAGGATAATAAAAGTAAAAAAGTTAGTTCTCTTCTAAAAGGCCTTTTTAACTGTGTGTCTGTGTGTGTGTGAGAGAGAGAGAGAGAGAGAGAGAGAGTAGCCTTTCTGATTTCTCTTCGCAAAGGCCCTTTTAACTGTGTGTGAGAGATATATGGTATGCATCATTTTTTGTAAAAGTTTAATTAAAGTGTAATTGAGTTTGTCTTTTAGAAAAGGTCATTTGAGAGACGAACCAACCGCGCAAGTTAGTTCAAGTGGCGGGTAAAAGAATTTTCAGAGTGGGCCCAATATTACGAAGGGGGTGCGTATTAAGAAGGGGATGGGCACACGTGCACACAATACACATTGACAAAAAACAGAGGCTTTCTCGGTAAAACAATAATTAAAAGCATAACTAATACCATCACAAAAATAAAGAAAAGAAAAACATGTATATCACCTCCCACTATTTGGACAAAACTACCCTCAGCAGCTACAAGAATTCCAGCACCCATCACCCTCGCTGCAATAACGTATTAAAATAAAATAAAAAATTTCTAAACTAATTACTCCAACTCCGTCACCAATCCTTAAATAGATTATGAAATGTTAAACTCTTTAAATGCACAAAAATATTAAATACAGTTGTGACTATTGTAACTGTACATTATGAAAGTTACAAAATATGCAGTTGTAATTATTATGGAACTTACAAAATTTAATAACCTGATCACAATAAACACAACTCTTAGATGAAAAGAGTAATTTCAAATAAATAAAGCACAACTCTTAGATGAAAAGAGTAATTTCAAATAAATAAATAAAAATACTTCATCTAAATTTCTCTTATTTTTATATAAGTATCTTATGTATAATACCATTCATGTATACATATATATACACGTGTATACGGTGTATATAAAAGTTCCTGCCAAGTACCATCATAACAAGAATTAAAGGGAATGGCTGTTTGGTGTGAAGCTTTAGAAGAAAGAAGGTATGTCATTGAATGTGCAAGTAATTTTCAGGTGAATGAATAGCAAGTAACTAACCGATTGCCAAATGGCATTCAATTCAAAACAAGGCTATTCATGTAATTTTGGATATCACTACTACTTAATGCCATATATTACTCCGTATACGCTCTGCAAAACCTTATAGTAGTTCATAGAGCTCTCGGGGTTTCGATAATCACATAGTAATATATATATATATAAGTCCACTGCCGTGTTTGACCTCAAAAGCGATAGTTACATACAGCACAATATATATATAGAGAGAGGGAGCAAGAGAGAAGGGGGCATAGATTTGCTCTGATTATATATAAATCACTGAATCTTCATTTTCTTCTTCTCCAATCTTGTTTAGTTGTTCTGGTAATTTCTATCCTTTCCGAATAGAATTCGGATTTCCCGTAACTGATTTTCTCGAGAAAGTTGCAATCTTTTGAATTCGGCGAGATTTGATCGGAAACAGTCGGAATCGCCGATGATACAAAGTGTTTGTCGGAAAAATTAGGTTAATTTTTGGATCAAGAAGAGATGAGAGGAGTGAATGGAGATATGAGAGGTGTGAACAACACTTTCGAGACTATTAACGCTGCAGCGAATGCGATCGCCTCAGCTGAGAATCGTATGCCTCAAGCTTCGGTTCAGGTAAATTCATATGATTTGATTCGTTCATTTCTCAATCTATTTTCATCATAATTGTGTTGTTTTGATTGTGTTAATTGAGCATTTTGAATTGAAAATGTTATGTTTTGCGAAAGCTGCTTATACGTAATACGATTCAAGATCTGTTGATCTTATTAGTATGTGATCGCTCGTTGATTCGTTTTTAATTTTTCTTTATGATGGAAGAGAATATGATTCTGTTAGTTCTTGTTTAATTTTGTTTCATTGTGAATTGTGATGTTATTTCGCTGTATTCTTTCTAGTCTTGGAAGGTGGACTTGTGTTCTTGAGGTACAGAATTTAGCTTGGAAATGTGAAGTTTTATGGTTTTCTTTATTAAGATGAGGTTTACATACTTTGAGGATTGTTTACATTGTGTTACTGTATGGAAATCTATAGCCTTTTACTTTTAGGAGTGTAATGGTGTTTAATTGTGGATGGATGAAGCTTCTTGAACTTTTTGAGTTTTATTTGAAAGCTGTTGACTTTAAGACACAAAGGTGTAATAATTTGTTTTCAGTTTCTCATTATTGAATCGTATCGTTACACAAGTCTGCTAGTATCAGTATGTGTTTTTTCCATCATTAAGTTTGAAATTGAGGCGGCTTTGCCGGTCAAAAATTGCCGGGATAACTATGGGTAGGATTGGATTTTCTTGGAGTTAGAGAACCCTGCTTTTCACTGCCACCAGTATGTTTGAAGTTAGAAAGAAAGGCATAACTTTTATTAGTATCATGCAGCATCTGGATATTTGCAGCTAACTCCTACTCACGTAATATTTTTGTACTCTGTTTCCTTCTGAGGTGTCCTGAATAAGATTTGTTTCTTGTTTGGTGCCAACCCAATCCAAATTGATCTATGTGCATCCTTGAATCTAACTAATATTTAAATGATAAGTCCAGATAGTTTTGCTGGTCAGAATTATCAAAGAACAGAAATATATTTCGATTTGAAATATTGTGTTGTTTTGGAGAAGTGGATACTTGTGGTCATTTCCTTTACTCATCAAGGTTGAGTATTTCGTTATATGTTTTTTGAATGCTTATTTACGGTTGTAGATAATGGGTCTAAACTAGATATCTCATTAAAAGTAAGTAATATGGGGATGATTTTTTAGTAGAACTTGAAAAATTGATGTATAGGTAGGTATTCATTGCATCATACACATTTCAACTCTTTCGTGGAGCCCATGGACAAGAGAAACCTGTTGCATTCTCCATAAAAAAAAAAGGTGCTCAAAGAATCAGCACCTTACTTCCTTATATCAGTCTTGAGTTTTTTTTTTTTTGGATGGTTTTCTTACACTGTGATATCCAATGGCTTCTAAAAAATATGCTTTTTTAGATTCATTTCAAAATTGTGTTAGGTTCTTAAGTAAAGCGGCATTGTATTTTTTACAGCATGGACGATGTAATTTATGTCAACTCCAAGGCAACTCTCTACAAGTGTTCCATTTATCGTAAATAGTAAATGCGTGTACACAATATATGCTCTATATTAAAGTATCCAAACATGGAGATCAGAACAACACTTGAGTGTTGATTTTAATCAATTGCCATGTTTAACTCTCATCTATCTGAATCTCAATCTTTGAGTCCTTTGTACACAAATTATTGAGTAAAAGGATGATTATATGTAAATATTATATTTACATTATGCGTATGACAGTGTCTTTGATTCAGTTTAGCCAAAGTGTCTTTCTATTTTGAATATGAACATGGATGTAGCGCACTAGTATTGATGAAGAACCTTCAAGTAACTCAATCCATTTTTAAAATATTTATTTAATTAATGTTTACTGATTAATCAGTAATCAATATGTTATAAACTTATCATTAGAATTAAGGCGGTAATCATTTGGCTTGACTTTGAATTCTGCTACTTTTGTTGGCCATTTTTTGTGTGGGTGTTTTTTCCCCTCTTCTATTTTTTTTCCCCCCTATCTGTTGCTATTGTTTCAGGTAAGTGGCTTATGTTGTCAGGCTTCTATTTTGGTTCCTTTTTTTCTCTTTTGCTGGTTGGGTTGGGGGTGGAGTTGGGGATGTATAGGAGATCTGGATTCCTCCTCTTGCATCCATTGTTGCACACTTTTGTGCCTGGGAAGGTAGAAAACAGTATGCAGAAATTTAGCGCAGAGGATTTGTAATCTGAAGCAAGAAAATTTGGGACTTTCTGGATTGAGAACAACTTAAATTGGATGTAGCTTTGGCAATTTTCACGTGCGGAATGTTTGTTGAATTTAAAAATAGTAAATGAATAATCATATATCACGAGTTTAAAACAAAGAGAGATTATTTGATGCATAAGTTGCAGAAAATATCAATTTCCTTTAGGGGTTGCACGCGAGATTTTCTCTGTTTGTTGATGCATACTTTCATCTGCCAAAAAAGGGGGATACTGAAATTTTGCTGTATCAGTGTATACCTATAGTCTCTTGTCTTGATGACTTCAGGCTGACACTAGAGTTGTGCTTAACAACTTTTCCCATTCTCTACATGCTAAATTTTTGTTTATATTCCTAGGGTTTTATATTTGCTTACAGAATAAGAGCTTGGTCATTTGTGAGGTAAAGAAAAATAATACAGAATAAGAGCTAGGTCTCACCACATTTATATCTGTCAAATACATTTTCTTCTCTATTCAACAACTAAAACTTGACTTTTCTGTTTGTGCCATTTTCTTTCACCTCTTAACTTGCTCAGGGAAGCTAAGTAATGATATTGGAAGTTAAATGAAGTAATGTTTTTCAGATTATTTTTCAGTTGTATCAAACAACCATCTTGGTTTGACCTCTTAAATTCTCTGATTGTGTTCTTTTGTGCAACTTCGCTCTCATGCTCTCTGTTGTTTTCAATATGCAAAGGCATTTTCGAAAGTGGGGATTGCTCTTTTAGCTTTTTTACGGGAGGATGGATTAGAGTTGTTCGTACTTAACCCATTCTAAATTTTAGTTCACAATGCTTAGCTTATTGATTGGGCAGCTATATGGCTAAAGAGATGGCATGTCTAAAACAAAGATTTTCTTTATTTTTTTTGGGTTGGGGGAAACTAGGAACACTATAGAGCTCTACAATTCTATTTCCGTAGTCAATCAGTCAAAGCAAAGCCTTGGCTGGGGCATAACCCAGGACTTTACAAGAAAGTAATTCTAAGCAAAAAGAAATTAGATACAGCAGCAAGCAAAAATGGTTAGCAAAAAAAAAAAACAAAAGAGACAGTTATTTGGTTGCATAATATGAAACATAATTATCTCAGGATCAGCATTGTTTCATTTTCTAGTATCAAGCATGATGAATCTGAGGCCTGATGAAATTTCTTTGAAAGCCTTAATACTTGGAGTTACTCATACTTGCCCTTTCAATCTGCTGTCTTCTAGTCTCATGTTAAATTAAGAAATTTTTTTGTCAGAGTTACCTATTATAAGTTTAATGTTATTGATAGAGTCTTTGGTTACATGCAGAAAAGAAGATGGGGAAGTTGCTGGAGTATATATTGGTGTTTTGGATATCAGAAAACCAACAAGCGAATTGGGCAAGTTCCTGAAACAACAGCCCGAGGAGCAGAGGTTCCAGCAGCTGAAAATCCAACCCAAGCACCTTCTCTAGTACTTCCCTTTGTTGCACCTCCTTCCTCTCCCGCTTCTTTCCTTCAATCAGAACCTCCCTCTGCTACCCAATCACCCGCTGGTTTGCTGTCCTTCACCTCAATGTCAGCCAGTATGTGCTCCCCAGGTGGCCCTGCCTCCATTTTTGCTATTGGCCCTTATGCCCATGAGACACAGTTGGTCTCACCCCCTGTTTTCTCTACGTTCACCACAGAACCATCGACTGCACCCTTTACTCCTCCTCCTGAGTCTGTCCAACTGACTACACCTTCCTCACCCGAGGTGCCATTTGCTCGGCTTCTTGATCCCAACCACCAGAATGGTGAAGCTGGTCAGAAATTTCCTTTATCCCACTACGAGTTCCAATCTTATCAACTTTACCCAGGAAGCCCGGTCAGCCATTTGATCTCTCCAAGTTCGGGCATCTCTGGTTCTGGCACCTCATCACCTTTTCCTGACCGTGAGTTGGCTCCTGGTGGTTCCCATTTCCTTGAGTTCTGCACTGGTGTCCCTCCGAAGCTCTTGAATCTTGACAAGTTCTCCCCCCATGAATGGGGTTCGCGGCAAGGATCTGGTTCCTTGACCCCGGATGCTGTGGTACCTAGATCTCGGGATAGTTTTCTTCTGGATCGTCAGAATTCTGATATCGCACCACTCCCAAATATATTCAATGGAGGTCAAAATGATGAACATGTTGATCATAGAGTTTCATTTGAAATAACTGCGGAAGAAGTTGTTAGATGTGTAGAAAAGAAGCCAGCAGCTTTGGCCAAGGCTGTATCAGCATCTCTAGAGAATGCAAAACGCGCTGGTGAAAGAGATGAAAATTCAAGTGAATTGCAAATGCCCAATGGTCATGAGTGCGTTGCTGGTGAAACATCCCACAACTTACCAGAGAGAGCTTCAGCAGATGGGGAGGATGGACGGCGTCATCAGAAGCACCGAACACTCACTCTCGGATCTCTTAAGGAATTTAACTTTGATAACGCAGATGGAGGAGATTCTGACGAGCCTACTATTGGCTCTGACTGGTGGGCCAACGAGAAAGTTCTCGGGGAGGAGGCTGCCCCAACCAAGAACTGGACCTTCTTTCCAATGATTCAGCCAGGTGTCAGCTAAGTGGTAGGACCCGACTTCCGCTTTAATGGATCAAGTTGTAGAGATTTAATGGGTTCTGGATTAAAAATGATGGGTGTTGCAGAACTGACCAATACATGAAGGCTGTTTTTTGAGCACTTCCTGACCTGAAGAAAGCCCTGAGATGGGAATGTTTTGTTAGGGTTAGTATGGGCAGTAGCTTTTTTTTTTTTTGTTCCCCCTATACCTAGGCTGAAGCATAGAAAAACTTACAGTACTATCAATTCTCAAATAGTTGTCTTTTATCCTTTTGCTTTTGTATTATAAATAATTCATAGAACAGAGTTCACGGTGATACTGATAATGAAATGAATATTTGGGCGATCTTTTTGTACAATTTTGAGTAACGACCATGGCTTGTATCATCACTTTTGATCCAGTGGAAATGAAAAAAGGAGTTGAGAACAACTTTGAATCAGAGACTTTATAAGCTGTGTCTGAACTTGTGACATTGGCATTCTTTACCGGACTTCGAAAATAATGCAGGGTTTTTGTTTTTAACATCGAAGGGTTTCTGAATGGCTCTGCCTAAGCTTCTTGATCCAGGAAGTGAAGTAGAATTACCGGACCGATTAAAGACGGTTAACTTCTCAATTTGACTCAAACACATCCACTCGATTTGAAAAATTGAAAATTGACTCAACCTTTTACAAAAGTGTATCAAGTGATTGTGATTAAGTCCGTTTGAAAAATCGGGTCTATTTAGTTCGTTCAAACAAAATGAATTTTCCTTTTGGTGAATGCCAAAGAAGAAAGGCAAATACCATTACTATTACAACTAGGGTAATGTTTGTTTTAGTTATACGTTGATTAATATTCAAAATTTTATTGAGATAATTGGTAAATAGTCCTAATGTTTAGTTGAAAGTTGAAACTTCCTTTGTACACTAGATATAAAAATAAGAGAGAAGTGTCAATAAGTTTTACTTTTGTTCTTCAAAAAAACAAGTCAAAATGTTCGAGAAGACCGATTTTGAGGCCCAAAGACCGTAAATTCAACGCACGCCACCTTAACAATAAGGCTATTTTTCAACCTACTATAAGTCAATTCAAGGAATAATATATTTACCGAAAAAAAAATTCAAGGAATAATAATAACGTTTTTCATGAATATTTTTTTCCCTTCTATTCTTTCTGTAGTTTGGCTTAAATTGAAAAAAAAAAAAAAAAAAAAAAAAAAAAAAAAAAACCTTAAAAGGCAGGAGAGCACAACGTTTGGAGTGATTCGGGTTGTAAGGAAGCCTTTTGGTCCTCCTTTTTTGCCCTTTGGGCCTGTGGCAGTTTCGCTTGTAGGCCCATTGGGTTTGCCCAAAAGTTATGCTTGAATATATGGAATTGGGCCTTTGTACAATCCTACTTAACGTGATCTGTTTCTCGCGTACTTTCACTTCATGTGATTTATAGGTCTTGTAATTGAAAATTTAGAAAAGTCTTTTTTTTTTTTTTTTTTTAAATTATAAGACACGGAATTCTGTGTTCCAAACACAACATGAGAGTAAATGGGGTTTTTATCAATGGAAAGAAAAGAAGGGTATGAGGTGCAAGATTTGAAGTCATGGAAATCAAGTGTTTTTACAAAAATGGTGTTGGTGTTTTAGAGTTGTTCTCTCTTTTTTGGGTTGAGTTGTGATCAGCTGATAGATTCTTTGAGGCATGGCGAAGAATGAAGATGGGTTAAGAGAACAAGGTCTTGAATTTTGGAGGGAGCAAAATGTTCAAGTAAGGATCATTTATTCGTTAATTATGGTTTGACTGACTTCACTAATAGAAAGATCAATAATTGATGTTTTCAACATTTTATTTTCTCTCTTTCAACATCAATAAGTGTGAAAATGCACAAATATGTTAGATTCTGGCTTATATGTACTACTTGCATTTCATAAACAGATTGCTTTACTCATTTATTGTATTGATGATTTCTCTCTATTTTCTTTCAGAGCTCTCAATGTGTAAGATTACTCCTCCTTGTCGTCAAACGACTATGGGTTATATGGGTTTCTCTGTATTAGAATCAGGGGTTGCAATATCAAAAAAATCTCTCTACTTTTAAATTGAAAAGACACTAAAGAATCCTTGCTGTGAGTGGATTTTGAGTGGGATAGCACTTAATTCCATGAATAAATGTAGTAGTTGATGTCAATGTGGAATTGCTTGCTTACCTGTGGGCAGACAGAATAAGACGGCGTGAAACCGGTGAGATTATTATAGGATTTTCACTCACCAATAGTAAATGATTTCAAAAGAGCACGTGATTTGATTGATTAAAAAAAAAGTTGGCACACATTACACACATTTTAGAGAATGAAAACCTAAAATTGTGCCAATTATTATTATTATTTTTTTTAAAAAAATTGGGAATTAGTGTTATCAAGTTGTCGCGAGGACACTAAACTGATTTTTAGACTATCCTGCTTCATTTTATTGTGAGGTTCAGATCTAACAGATTGACACTATAATTCTGAAACCAAAGTATTGGTTTTGCAATGCTGAATGCTATATTATGAACGAACCCTTTCTTCTTCTTTTTTGAATGTTTTTTGGTGACAACAAAGGATAAGCACTCTGTTGAAAGTTCAAAGAGTTTGTCAAGGGGATTCTGATCTTGGTTTATCAGTTTATACATATAAAAGGAGGAAATGATAGACAACAGGTCCTGTCTTGTTGAAAAATCATTAATTTTTGTTTACTTCTCACAAGGAAAGTTGCTTAGAAGTCGTTATGATTTCAATAACACAAACACTGACATTATTTTAGCATCTAATCTGTTAAATTCTCCTCTTTGGTGCCTTTGTCTGAATGGGATTTGCTTGTATTTTGGAAATTCTTGTTCCAATTCAAGGTTTCAATGAGTTCTTTAGCACTTAGCCTGACATTACTATTTTTCTATCCAATCTCTGTTAATGGACACTTTAAATGCAAAATATTTGTTGGACTTAACTCTGGTATGAGTATGGTATATGAGTCTTGACATTTTATTCAATAATTCAAGTTTACTATATATTTATACACAAATATCTCTTATGGTGTTCCCTGTGTTACATTGTTATTTCAAATTGAGTGACATACTCGTGTTGAACATCCAATGTCATATCTTTTTATCTCAGAACATAAAATAATAATAATAAAAGTATGGTGACAACTATGAAGAATTACACGTGTCTGCTTGTCCTTGGATTTGGAGATCTTATAAATCCAACAGGGACGCATACACACACCCAACATACTCACCTGAGTCCATGTAACAAAGTCAGAACTTGGGGTAGTTTCATTTCCTTCAGAAGCAAGGTTCAAGGTTGTAGAGTTGCAAATATGGTCTTGGCTCCTACTGTTAAAGTGGTTTTAGGTTCGGTTGCTTTTGCAGTCTCATGGGTTTTGGCTGTTTTTCCGGCAGTTCCTATTCTTCCCATTGGTAGGACGGCAGGGTCCCTCCTAGGAGCCATGCTTATAGTCATCTTCAGGATTATAACACCGGACGAAGCATATGCTGCAATAGACCTCTATGAAAAATTCGGAAGATGCAGCTCCAATAGAATCTATGGAAGAAAAGAAGCGTTGGTCGAAGTTATGGAAGAGATTGGTCTGGAAGTCGTGTGTTTATCTTGTTAGTGGAGGAATGCTGATTGTTTTGCTTACAGGTTTAAATATGTCTTGGACTGCGGTTACTGCGGCACTTATTCTTGTTGGTAAAATATATGCTTCATGTGACATTTAAGATATAACAAATCTTATACTAATATGTCATGAGATAATTAACAATATGCTAAGAAATCATTAATTAAATATGCAACTCTATATTTAATTAAATATACAAGATAAATTAATAAAATAATAATAATAAATAAAGAACCTGGGCCGAGGCTAGTATTGGATACTATGTCCTTAAGACAGATTCGCCCCGCTATGGTGCTAACGGACTCAGTGACGTCTATCTCACAGGATACAACGGTCTACATCCACCAGTAGCAGCACTACAAACTCGTGGATACGGCGAACCTTCTCCGTGTAATACTCTCTCTGACTCAAAAATGCATCTATACTATATAAATACTGAATTTGGTGCAATCCGAACCAAATGGTTCGGACTAATCTTAATATGGTTCGATAAAATTGGATTAGGGTCTAAGTGGTTCGGACCACTTAACATATGGTTTGAACCCACTTGGGTTGGGTTCAAGTTTAGAGAGGGAGAAAGAAGAAAATGAAAATTGAACCACTTGCAAATGATCCAAAGGGGGGTATTTATAGAAACAGAAATGCCTTTTCAGATTGGGTGTATCTCTTCATTATTGGACACAACCATTGCAATAGGTTACAATGCTTCACATGGTGTCTATTCACCACTAGACACATCTATTCCAATAAGTTGTAATGGTTTACATGGTGTCTGTTCACCAATAGATGCATCCATTACAATAGGTTGCAATGTGCCTTTTTGAGTGGGTGCAACCATGGGTTATGATGGTTCGAAAAAAGGTGTAACCCTTTGAAAAAACTAAAAAGTGGTTTTTTAATTTAAAAGGTGTAACCCTTTAGAAAAACTAAAATATGGTTTTTTAATTTAAAATGTGTAATTTTTTTTTTTTAATTCAAAAAACCAACTACCCAAAAAACCCACTCATTTGTGAAACCCATTTAAATAAGCCTAGCCCAAAATTAGACCTAATCCAAAATTCCAAAAAAGAATAATCTGAACTTTACAATTAAGCCCAAGCCCAAGCCTAAATCCTAAACTCAGCTTATTTAAATTTCAATTTGTTTCAACATTTTTTCTATATGGGACAAACACTTCCCACATTTTGCATACTCATTTAGGCTTATCAAAACACCACACTTTGAAGCTAATTTCTCATTCATCTGGAAACGGAAAGTAAATATACCACGTTCTTCTCCTTGCGGAGAGAAACGCGCTTGTCTAGAGATCCGTAAAAAATTATTAGCGAAATCTATTTCAAATCTCATCCAAAGTTTATGTTTTTAATGCCTCCGTTTCCAACAGTTCTTGTGATTGTTGATTTCAAGGATGCCCAGCCATGCCTAGAAAAGGTAAATTATGTGTATACAATAAGTTCATCAGTATTGAATTTTGTTGAAACAAATTATAGCTTGTAAATGTGCCTTATTCTCCCTTACTTCACCTTTTTGAATCAGGTTTCTTACCCTCTCTCCTGATATTCTTTTGTGGAATGTTTGTCACGATTGATGGCTTCAACAGAACGGGAATACCTAGCACTCTCTGGAGCCTCGCAGAGCCTCATGCACGGATCAATCATGTTAGCGGTGTTGCAGTGCTTGCTCTTGTAATACTTCTCCTTTCAAATGTTGCTTCAAATGTAACTA